CAGTCCTCCTGGCACTTAACAGCATATACAACATTGCTCTGTTTGTGCCGGGGCACCGGATCTTTGGGGTGAACCAGCCTTTGCCGTAATGTGTTTGGGGGTTTGATACAATTTTTTTTCTTTTTGATTTTTTACCTGGATTACTGAGATGCATCAGGACACGATAAATTACATATGTATGGATGGATTAATAATTACCGGTAAGTCTATAATATTCTTAATAAATACCATATTCATGTCAACATAGTCGTATTGAAAGGTAAATACAATAATCTGCTTCAGTCCAAAATGAAAAAAGTACATGTGGAAGTAAACTATTTAAGACTTGTGAAATTGCTCCATATTAGATAGACTTAGTTTTAATATTTAACTAGGTTAGGTAGCAAACTGAATTCTTTCTTGTTAAAATAAATAAAGTAGGCCATAATGTATTAGATTCTTGTAAAATTATATTAAAATAATAAATGACTTGTTACTTAACACATTTTGACCTCATAGCCCAATTCGTCACCAGGTGTGGTAATGAAGTTTTTATAGTTCAACTCACCTACCTTAGAATAATAAAAATCAAGTTTTTACAGACACATCCCAGCCAACASCCCTGACGTGACCTACATTTACTACTTTTGTGCGCGCGCGTCTTCCTTTCTGTCAGGACGCGGAGGTTTTAGCATATTTCGGGTGTTTACGGCGCTCATGTTTGCACAAGCAGCTCCTGACCTACATTTCCTCTCCTGTTCCAAGGCTCTCAGCTTCACAATCCGCCCAGAGAAAGGAAACGTGACAGGGAGGACAGAAGAGGGCGGAGAGCTGGGAGTCACGGTGAGAGCCGCCCTTTCCGCACGTGTCCGTGTTCTCAGGCAAAGATCGTCTATTCATGGAAAGAGAACCCACTCTGATGTGACCAGTTATATTATGGGCATGTGCAGTTTATTTTAGCTGCCATTGTCAAGTTTTAACGATTTTATTGAGTTTTTTTCTGTTTTTTATGTTGTTTGTTTTTATTACAATGTTAAATGTTAATATTTGTTTTATGAAACTTGTGTTTTGTTGTTAGTTTTGGTCATGGCACGCTTATAAATGTGATTTTTAATCCCAGTGAGTTTTTGTCCTGGTAAAATAAAGGATTAATAATAATAATAATAATAA